CGTGCATAGAGTGCTCGAGTGATTTAGCCTGCGGAAACCTTCCCCTGCGTGTGTGCCACCATGGAAGGACAGCCGCGCCACAGGACCCCTCAGCCTGCCCAGAGCCCTGCCGAGGAGCAGCTGGGTCCAGAAGTTGTGCGGGTGACCCACACACTTCCCGCCATGGAATCGACGGTGACCCAGGCCACCCACTTGGGCCACCTCTCGGAACGAGGTGAGGGCATCGCTATGGCGGTGCTTTGCATCCTGCTCTTCAAAATGATGATGTGGATGTGGCACCGTTTGTCTACGTGGACGGCTCTCGTCTTGAGGCGTCAAGGCAGGCCGGAGGCGACTGCCACCTCGCAGGCCACTACAGACACGGACACCACGGTGCTCCAACCAGATGCTCTACGTGGGGCAGATCAAGGGCCGCCTGCATCAACCCAACCTCCGCCCCCTTCAGGCGGCACGGATGGGACTCCCAGTGCAGCAAAAGCAGCTTCCCCCGCGACGGCAGATGCAACCAAGGTGTCTCCAGCGGATGCGAAGCCTGCGGCGGCCAAAGCACCCACCACGGATGCCAACTCAGGGTCGGCGACTGGAAAGCCCGCGGATGCGGGCACAGTGACGAAGGTCACGGTCACCCCGTCTTCGCCCACAGGGCCACCTACTACCTTGGGACCGCCCTCGTCGTCTACGGCAGCCCCCAAGGCAACAGCACAGCCGAGCGCTGGCCCGCCGATCACGGCCCAGCAACTGCTCGCGGAAGTGAAGAAGGTAGCCAGTGAAGTCCAGATGTTTCGAAAGAGCATGGACGCCCAAGCCTTGGAAGCCAAGCATGCTACCTCCACGATGCAGACCCAGCTGTCCGACAACATGAAAGCAATGGCCTCCCTGGCCTCTCGTATGGACGGACTGGAAAAGATCGTGGGCAGTGTGACTGCCAAACTTGGGCCCATGGCGCAAAACGTCATGGATGTGAAGGGCAACCTGGACAAAGAAACGAAGGACCTCCAGAAGGCAGTGTTTGGCATTGCGACACTAGTCAAGGGCCACCACGATGACGAGTCGAAGGCCGCCAAGAGCAATTTCGACGAAGTCATGAAAGCCATCAACGGGTGGTGCAAGGAAATTTTGCACCAGCTCACGCAAAAGGACTATCAGACCAGCACGGCCCTCACACGAGTGTTGGAACAGTCTACGGCCGAGATACTCGAGGCCAATCACTATGAACAGAACGCCTTGACGGAGCTGAAGACGGCCCTCAACGAGCTGCATGCTACGATGGAGGGCTCACGTGATCCGGGAGTACTGCGAGAGGCCTGTACAGACTACGGTTCCGGCTCCGCCGCAGTACAGACCAGTTGTGCCTACGGGGCCCATGCAAGAACATGGCAGACCACCGCTGCACGACCCCACAGCTCCTGCGAGGATTAACCTCCAGCAGGCTTTGCCCTCTGATGCCAGCGGCTCCAACAGCCACATCACGATCAGGGGGGCGAGCGGGAGCCAGATCAGCATTCCGCTAAACGGCTGACTTTCAGCCGACAAGGGCGGACCATTTTGGTCCATGTGCGACTTTTTCGGCCGAGGCAACCATAGTTCAGTGTTTGTCTTTTCAAGCCTACTTTGCTTCGCACTGCCGACTGCCCTCGCACTGCCCTTGCTTTCTGCATGCCCTTTCTGTTTACTGTTTTGCATGCCCTTGCGAACTGCCTGTATTGTATACCTTGAATTCATTCACCTTTGCCTGTTTGTGGACTGTAGCTGCTGCTCTTGCGTTGTGCTGCAGTCCATGCGACATAATCGCAGGCCCTGACCCTGGACAGTATGGGCCACTTGACACGGGCCTCGCCCAGTACTGCACTGCCCAGCCTAGCAAAAGTGTTGCGCAAGGGATCGGGGTAGGAGCTTCTCTGTGCATGCAGTCTCTTTACACATTGCTAGATGGTGAGTTTCTGCTCTACAGATACAGCTAGTCAGCCAGCTGAATGCGTCATGTCTACGGAAAGCTCGACCCCGCGGTCCGTCTTCCGCTTAGATGTAGTGCAACCCCTGCATCTGTTGCCCATTTCTCCACTGGAGCCCCATGAAGTACACGACTGCCTCACCACACCTCCCGCATGTGTAGTCAGCTTGATTGTCACTGAATTGCGTCGTTACTTTCTTTTGTCGCGGGAGGCATGGATATGGTTTGTCCGTCGTTGCCCAGTTCTTGACGACTACATTGCCGAACTCTGTCTTGCGTTAAACGTAGACCTGGACCCTGTCGACCCGAATGCCCCCGCGCTAGAAGTAGACCCGGATGATGAAGCCTATGCGGATTGGCAAGTGAGGGAGTGGACACACCGTTTTGAGTGCACTGCTGAAGCCATTGTCTGGGAGCACTTCGGATTACACCTTCCATGTTGGGAAATTGTGCTGTTTCAGGCCACTACCTTTCCTATCCGAGAGTGAAGCAGACGGAACGATCATGGCGACAGGTGCAGCGTGTGTAGCTCCCGACTTTCACTTCTGACAGTGAGGATCACAGCAGCAGGTTCCGCGGGAGTAGCCCCACAGCAGCAGTATCATGGCCTTTGCATGCGAACTCAGGACTGCTACTCAGGTGCAAGACCTGACGGCTGATGACCATGCATCCCCTCCCGATATAACCCCTAAACCCATCCGATCCCCCGATGGTCTACCCATTGACCTGGAGGACTCGCATAGCACTCAGGTTGAAGTCGCTACGGACTGCACCATCCTCACCGATGGCTCTCAACCGGACCTGGGCCCTAGACTACCGGATTGGGGGTTTATTCAGGACCCACTGCTTCGGGACATTGAATATCTGGCAGTCAGAATGTTGAATAGACCTCAAACCCCTACCAAACGTGATGTGCTACGGCTGCTAAACATGTACCCCCACAACTTCATGAAGCGCAATGGTTCGGATACACGCTACATTGTAAGTGGGGCCAGCCCTAGGTCCAGAGAACATGTATTGAACTTTAGCACCGAAATGCCATACATGACCATGCTAGTCAACCGGTTTATCCGTACTGTTTCTCCGTGGCACCCATACAGCACGTGGGTTATTCGCAAGGGGTGCGCAAGCAAGGTTCACCGAGACATCCGTAACGGACCCCTGAACTCATGGATCATTGCACTTACTGAATGTAAAGACGGTGAAGGCCTCTGGATTGCGGACCATGTAGGGAGAGTGTATCGTAGCTACCAGAACCGTGACCTTGCTGGAACAGTAGTCAACATCACCTCTCCCTTTATCTTCAATGCTAGGAAGGTTCTTCATGCGGGACATGTTCTGAACCCTGAATCAGCCAGCAACAGGGTAATCCTTGTAGCCTTCAGTACCCTGGGCGCGGTAACACTTGAACCTGAGGTTAAAGAACAGCTGTTACAGTTAGGTTTTCACATGCCCACCCGAACCCTTTTCTGCGAAACCACACATGGGGCCAACGGAGACGACCCTCCCCGCCTCCGCCAGCTCACCTTAAGACAGGCGCTGGCACTCAGTCCGCGCAAGGCAGACGAACAGGACGTGATCGAAATCCTTGATGAACCTACACAGGACCGCTGACTATGACGACAGGACAACAGGTGCGTGCAATATGCATCTCAACAGATCGTTCATTGTTCAGCCTCCCGGTCAGTCCTTCCTCTCTGCCCTGTCCGTTCAGTCCCCGTCGTCCTGCCTGCCAGCCTGGTCACCATACACCAGTCTGTCCAAAGCCCCACCACTCCCAACCCTCCCCTTGCTGCGACTCCTTGTTTCACTTCGCACTGCCTTTGCTGGACTGTTTTGCATGCTTGAATTGATGAATTGACGTCTGCATGATGCATGTGATGATGGATGGTGATGCCTGACACTGACTCCCTGTTACGAAATACATCGTCATACTCCCTTTCCTAAAACAGCCCGAATCATTGCCCGCTACTAGCTAACCTTAAAAACCACTAACCCTCGTCCTCGCGGCCCATGGCTCATCCTGTGGTGGCACCTGGCCCTCACTGCTGGAAGGTGGTATACCCTGACCTGCCTACGCCTCTGCCTGGCACCATGACTGTTATGATTTGGCTCTCTGCATAGAGCTGGTAAGGCACCATGACTGTTCCGCATGTGCTCTCTGCATAGAGCCGATACAAGCAATGCTTTGGTTGGTCCCGGGTGAGTCACCCCTCCTGACATTTGCTCTCTGCATAGAGCTGGCAAAAGATGATGCCACGACAACGGTGGTTACCGGGCGCCTCGCCCGCCCCTCCTGGAGGCAGGCATACCCTTGGCTTTATGCATAGAGCTGGTACAAACAAGGCTATGGTTGGCCCAGTGGGCATCACCCCTGCTGACATAGAGATGGCACAGACGAGGCTGCCCTTGAATACCTTGAGATTGCTTTTTTGGGGGCTAGGCCACCAAGCTATCCTGCCTACCTGCTTCCATACACCGATGTGCCCGATGTGCACCCGGAAAGACCCACCGAGATGAACGAACAGTGAAGCATACCGACATGCACTACGCCTACGTCGATGTTTGCTGGACTGCTGAGTATGCCGCTGAGAGCTTCCTTTAAGCCCTATGCATGTCTACCGCGAGTACTGAGACACCGCAGCCTGAAACCTGTAGTTTTCACCCAGACCCCTGGTAGTGTACAGCATGCCAACCGGTCCTTTGTTTGAGTACTTTCCCGAACCAAGACCTTGTAGAACCATCTACTTCAGTGATACTGAGTATTTTGGCACCCGTGCTCAAAGCTAGCAGAGTGAGGCATCCTACCGTCCTTTGTGGCCTTAACTTGCGTTTGTCGTTTTTTTGCAATGTAGGATGCTCCACGGGTACTGTACTATACTTCAATCCTCTTGATGGTCTTTCTCGTTTCCCGTCTTGCGTGGCACTACCTTGGCGTTTAGCTGTCTTCTACACGTGGGAAGCGAGATGACTATCTGTAGCACCGACACGCACCAAAGACCTCGTCTGGCTTGTTCCGAGTTGCGAGAGCGTAAAGCCTCGGCTTCAGGACTTGGTTGGAGCGACCTCGCAGGCGCTGAAACCCGCGCTCGAGGCGCTGCAGCAGCGAGTCCGAGCTTCGGGCGTCACCTGCAGGCCTTGCCCTTTAGGGTCTAGGGGGCTTAGGGGTTCAGGGGTTTAGGGGTTTGGGGTTTAGGGTTGAGGGGCTTAGGGTTTGGGGTTTAGGGTTTAGAGGCTAGTCCGGTTTGGAGGCCCCCATTTGGGCTTCTCCTGGCTGAGTGGGTTGTGGCTTGGAGAGAATTCCGCTTGAGGGACACCGAGATATAACGTACAAAGGATATAAAGGTCCAGTTTTGGTTTCGACCATCCGTAGATGGTGCTGTTGGCAAAGCTGGGTGGTGGTTGGGCCCACTCACCCAGCCAAAGCCGCTAAAATCTTTTTGTCGAAGTTCATGGGAAGGAGAGGAGAGCGAGAGAAAGCTAAGCCAGCAGAAAGAAAAAGAGGTTGAGGGAATTGTAGTTTGCAGTGTCACGTGCAAATAAAGCTAACATGCAGGCTTCGTGCCGGTAGAGTCAGGGAGTGCTTGAGCATACACCCAGCCTGGACGTGTCCTGACGGTCATACGAGTCATACGTTGTGGGGGCGATCTGCTAAAAAGGGCTCGGGTGGGATGTATCTGCAGGGGCTTTTCCCCCGTTAACAAGAAACCAGCTAGTAGGTGGTGTTGGGCACACATGCTTTCTCTGTGCCAGGTTTGTGGAAGCCTCGTACTGGTCCGCCGATCATGCCGTCTGCCAGCTTAGCGTTGGGGATCAGCTGGTGCCCTTCATATTGCTGGGGGATGCCCTGGGCGGAAAGCCCTTCTACACGGGCTCGACGCTTAACCGGCACCTCTGGGATGTTGCGACCCTCATTGATGAGGTGGAGTTCGCCTACGACGGGGGCCCCTTAGATGCTGCGCGCTTCGCCATGTACGAGCGGCGCTACATGGAGTGCCTGCGTCGAATTCCAGAGTTCCAACGTCCTCGGTCCATCATCCTTCAGGCACTTCCCAAGCCCATGCCCGTACCCCGCCAGAGGGTTGACGAGATACCGCCTTGCGAAGCAAAGACTTTGTCACTGCCTGCCATACCCTTTGGGCGACCATTGATGTGAGCTTGGGCTCCTGTGAAGTGGCTTTAGCCGCAGCTTTAGTATTCGTAGCCGTCTTCCCAACTCTGCTTTCCCGGATTGCTGCACTAATAGGCGCGCTCGCCGCGCGCAGCATTTTGGAGCTGCGAGGGTGCGACTTAGTATGTTTAGTTCGACACTTCTGACCTCGGAACTGCTCCAAAGTGTGGTTCATGACTAGGTCGCCGCTTTGCTTCCTGCAGGTGGCGCTTTTCCGTCTCCGAAGGAGACGCGAGCATGGAATTTGCTTACCCTTCTTGCAGGAAAGAAGCGCTCATCTGAGAACCGCAAACGAACCCTAATTCAGGAAGCAACCCATCTTACGATGATGTTTGGTGGTGATGATGATGGTGTTGATGAGAGTGATGGTGATCACTACGGAGCATGCTGTCGTGGCTCGTAACGCGAGGGTGTTCTTGGTCTCCGCGTCGCAAACGTCCCCTTTCTCAATGCTGCCCTGAGATTTGGCAAGCCGTCGAGCCCTACACCATACATCCGGGCAAGCCTACGCGCCCTAGAATGTAGGAACCTGATCAAGAAACCCTGGCCCTATAACCCCCAATGTATTAGGATTCGAACCCTAATGAATAAAGGCCCAAGGCTTCTTAATCAGGTTCCTACATCAACCCTAAACCCTAAACTTCAAAGAGCCCCTGAAGAAGAAGGCCCAAAGAAGCGGCCCTTTCGGAGCCACCGAGGCCTGGCATGCTTGTCTCACACCGCAGCGCACCGGGTGTCTCGGGCTTCGGGAACCGCCCGCGCCCCTGAACTTACCTTTGGCTAGTAGGTACGTAGTTATGTAGGTAGCTTGCCTTGGGTTAGTAGGGAATGGAGGAATGGGGTAGAATTATAACTACTATCACTGCCAGTCTTCCATTCCCTACGAACCAAAGGAAAGTGAAAGCATGAGCTCTGGAGCAGCCGCTGCTGAGATTCGGGTTGCGGATTTCGGAGCCTCAAGTGGAAGCGGAGCTGCGAGAGATTCTCTTTGGAGCCAGGGAGGTTTTGTAGACCCTAAACCCTAAAGTTTAGGGTTTAGGGAAAAGGGCCTAAACCCTAAAGAAGAGGTCCCCCCCAAGTATCACCACGTCTCATTACGAAGGCATTTCGGCTCGGAAGGAGCGGCACGCCACAGCGCCGCTCGACTTCCCAGGTCTCCCACGAAGCAGCCATGGCTTCATCTTCGGAGGATCCCGTGCCTCGCCGCGACATGAAGTATTGCCAAAGTCCTGAGCCAATAAGTGTCTCGTCGACCTGGTCCGAGTTTAGGATTGAAGCCTTGAACCGTGTGGCATCCATTAGGTCCAGCTGTAAAAAGCATCAAGTCCCGATCCTTTGCTCAACCGGTCTTCCATGCTCGCTCGAGGAGCCTTCCTCTGCGTCGGACCTGGGGCCCGATGCGGAAAGACTCGAGGCGCCTGCACCTGAAGTGGCCAGCAGACCATCTGAAGTTCTGGGGTGAGGGGGGGTGAAGGAGACTGGAGGGAACGGAGCAAGTTGTCAACGGTTGGTTTCGTCGGTAACCGTGCAACCCTAAGAATTAGTTCTGAGATCACACCCTCCACCTTTCAAGCTTTGCTACAGTTCTTGTTCCATCAAAACCCAAGACCTTGACTGTTATGTCAGCACCCAACATCCAAAACCCTCAACCCAACACCCCGAGTTCAAAAGCTCTACATCTATACACACACAAGAATGAAAAGTGCAATGTTCTAGTACGAGAATGGAGATTTAATGCCCCGCACTTTGAACATGAAGCTCTTAACCCTAATGCCGAAATCCTTACGTCTTATGTTCAGTGTCGCGCGAGGAAAAGACCCTCCTGCGCTCCATGCACCGCATGCGCTGATCGGCTGAAGGTAACAGTTGGGTCGGGCATGATTGACTGGAAATGTCAGATTATGGGTCATAGGCCTATCTGACAAAGCCCAAGGCAAGGATGGCTTGAGCGCGAAGAAGATCGGGAAATATTTCGGGCTGAGTTCGGATGACGTGACGGCGAGGCTCAACCAGCACCAAGAAAGCAGCGAATTGCAGGTCTTCGCCAAACCTGAACCAGAAGTCGGCGACGACATCCAGGAAGAGGCGACTTGACTTGTCGAGTGCAAGAAGGAGCTGAGGGTAGAAAGGGCGAGTGTGCAGGGACGACTCCTGAGGCCAAACGCCTTCTAACAGACCCCGAAGACTTGCTGTGCCCCATCGGCAAGACCTTGATGGAGCATCCGTTCGTCGCCCAGGATCTCCATATTGTGCGACCAGGTCTAACCACTGCGGGCTTAGTACTTTCCAAAGGGGCTGGAAGTATAAACGCTCTCAAACGAAATGCATCCACTCCACCCTTTTCGTTTGATTCACGACGTGGGTTTACTGTGGGGGTTTTCTGGGGCTGAGGGTATCGGAAAAACCATCTTGATACGAAGGACGGCTATACCTATGAGAAGAATGCGATCGAGGAGGCATTGCGCAACAAGCGATGCAGTCCGATAACCAATCAGCCAATGGGTAACCAGGCAGGCGCACTGATTGAATGGAAAGTCATGTGATTGCTGCTCGGCATGGTGTCATGCCGACTTTGCGTGAAAGCGATCTCATGCCTGGAGGTCGTTCCGAATCACGACAAGAAGTCCGCCATCGTCACCTACATGGAGACGACGGTCCGAAAAGCTGTGGAGCTGGCTAAATCCGTGCCGGCTGATATCGCAGAAGCGCTGCTGTTGAAAGCAGAAGGATTCGTGCGGTCCAAGCCCCCAGATTCCGCGGCACGGGTCAATCTTCTGAAACTGTTGCAGCTTAGGGCTGCACTGCCATCTGAATCGCGACGGGAGACGGTTGAACAGCTCATGAGTCTGGTGGCTGAGGATCCCGCTAAGTCAGTCGAGGAGGTCGCCGAATTGCTTGCCAATTTCGAGTCCTGGGATGTGGCTTCACATTTGTGCGATCGCAACAAATTCGATCAAGAGTTCGTGATGTTCCTGCAGACTTCAGCTCACGGTCCACCTGTGCTGCCGTGTGCTGAGATGCTGGAAAAGGAGCTTGCCAGTCGCTTGGCCGAAGCGCTGGAAAGAGAGCGAGAGCGCGCCCTTGCAGCTGCTAAACCGAAGATGCCCGCGCTTGTTGGGCACAAAACTCAAACTGGTGGGGTGGTCCCTTCTTTGGAACCAGTTGCAGGGAAGCTCTGGGAGTTTGTGTTTTGTCTCAGCTCTGTGCAAGCATCGGGTATTTGGGTAGACGGCGCAGCGTTGGTGCTCGCAGCTCTGCATACAAAGTTGCAGGTCGATCTGCCGAACCTGTCCGATGAAATATTAAGCAAGGCTTTGCACTTCCTGAAGAAGCGCGAGGATGCCTGCGCTCGTGCTGTGGAGCTGTTCAGATCCGACCTGTGTATGGCAAGCGAGACAAAAGACAGCAAGACGTTCCGGGCCGAGCTCCTTATGCTGCTTTTCAAGAGGCATCCCGAGGATGGCCTTGCTTTGCTGAGCTCCTTTGTTGCGGACTTTGATCATGAAGCCCAAGACAACTTGCTGAACATCCTACTCCAAAATGTGCCGGAAAAGGGTCCGGTTGAGTGTACATGTCAGCCCGCTTTGCTGAAGCTGCTCTACGCGCGTCGTGAACAAGTTCCGGACGAACTACTACCGAAACTTTCCCTGGAACCGGGTCACATACAGCTGTTGGCGCCAGAAACATCCGTAGCTCTGGCACAGCAGCTTCTTATGGCAGAGAGACCGGCGGAAGGGTCTCGAATTGCGGTCATCGCAGCCAAGGCCTTCGAGTCACTTGGAAGCACAGAGAAGTCAGAACGGGCATTTACCCTTGCCTATGACATGGACCATGGCAATGCGGAAGCTGCAGAGGGCATGCTGAACGTTTTGCTGGGACATCTGGAGAAGAAGGGCCAGATCGAGCAAGAGCGCCTGTTGTTGACGTTGCTCTTTGAGTTCAAGAGAAGGGTTCCAGACCATCTGCTCGCATGTCTGGCCTTGGAACCGCGTGAGATCAGGCAGCTTCCGCCAGGAGCATCCCTGGCCCTGGCAGAGCAGCTGTCGGACTCGAAGCGACATCAGGAGGGAGCTCAGCTCGCAGTCCTGGCCGCCGAAGCCTTCGAGGCCTCCGGGCTCCAGGAGGAGGCCGATTCGGCGTACGCCCGTGCGCACAGCATGGACAGGCTCAATGTCGATGCCTCCAACGGTCTCCTCTCTGCGACGAGCCGGTCTTGCAGAGGACTGACGGCGCTGGTGAAGGAGCAGCAGGCCACGATTGACCAGCTGAGAAAGTGCACCGAACAGTTGGTCAAGGAGGTGGAGGGTCTGCGGAACCATGTGCAATCCAGGGAGGGCCGTGGCATCATTTGGGACCTCTCGGACGAAGACTTGGTAGAAGGATTCTGCAAGGAGAGCCCGAAAATCAACCTGGAGAATGGCAGCGAATCTAAACACGTTCAGGCCTGGATTTGCAACGTGAAATTTAGCCCCCAACCCTCCTGCCGCATTTTGCCGATGAATACCTCCTTCTGCTTTCAGGCTTGGATTTGTTGCCGTGCGAACGGGAGGGGCAGCTCACCCACCGCGGCCATCTTCCTGCAGTGCAATGAGAGCTGCAAGATTGATTGTGAAATCTCCGTGGATGGCAAGACTGAGACGCTGAGCATCGAGAGCACAGAGGACGACGAACCAATCTCCGAGCCTTAAGGTTGCGTAAAGTGGTCTTCAAGCCCTAGCCGTAAAGCCCCAAAACGGCGAGCCCGAAACCGTCGCAGGACTACAAGACCAAGTTCCCTTTTCCGTCTGGATTGCTCGAAGAGAAGCTCGGCAAGATCAGCCTTCGCATCAAGGCGCTGAAGCTTGAGGGCGGCACCGTGCAGTACGATTATTGAGGTCACCGGATTCGGGAGCTGAGGCGTTGAGTTTACCTGTCGGTACTAGAGCTACGGCATTTCAGGTCCTTTGCTAGACGTAAGGGTTCCCTTTAAGTTCCCATGCTGGAAGCCTGGTGAACTTGAGCGATGGAACTCTTACGGCGCTACAGCTGCAGACGGCCGGCTACTTAAAGGATCATGGGACCTAGTAACTGGGGTTATAATTAGGGTAACTATACTTATAGCTACTTATAACCCCAGTTAAGGTACTTGTAACTTATAACCTTACTTACTAAGTCCCATGATCCTCCAAGTATGCACTGATATACAGAGCGGAGACTCTTGCTGTCCAGGCCCAGGCCCCCAGCCTTCTACATGCCTCCACCCTGAACACTATAGATCGTGACTCCTCGACCCTCCCAAAGCTGTCCCAAAAGACTCTTAATTACTGCGGGCCTGAGCGATCCTTGTTTTCAAGCCACAGATCGGCTTAAGGGCTGCAGGACGCTGCGGCGCCGCAGGAACCTGCGACCCAGAGGAAAAGAAGAGCATGATGGTACGAGGTTTACACCGGAGTGTCGAGGGTTTTGGGTGGCTGGTTGGGCTTTTGCCGTGACACTGTGGAAGCGCATTGACGGGTTAGATGAGCGACTCGGACGCCAGAGCATTTCGCCCTTCACCCCTCAACGCACAATCTCCCCCTGACTGCCTGCACAAGACTGTCACATGTATGTTTACTGAACTGTAACAAGGCAGGGCGCGAGGGAGTTCGCAGTGGCGAACGTCAGAACCAAGATGAGCGAGCGGAGGCATTGAAAAATTCGAATAAACCCACAGCTCGTCCAGACACGAAAATGAGCGTTCCGGGTTGGGCGGAAAGCTTCAGCTGCAGCTTACCGACGAATCGACGAAAGGGGCTTTCCGGGGTCCGAGCTTGGGAGGAACCTCCGGGATGCTCGTGCCGAAGCACTGGTGCAAGTACGACGACGGTTTTCATTTCTACGACGACGACTGCTCTCTGCAAGAGAGTGGGTCATGAATCCTTCGAGGCTATAGCCAGCTTAACCTGCCACAACTGGCAGGTAATTGGAGCAGCCAGTATCACCCGTAGACTCAGACAAGGGTCCTGGAATTCCTGAGGTCGGGTATGCCTGCCCACTCTATGTCCGGCGCGGCGTGGTGACCGAGGGCTCCGAGGTCCCAGCTTCTGCAGCTTTCGCGTTTAAGAAATGGGGGGGCGAAATGGATCCAACTAGGTAGGCTTTAGGTTCTAGGGCTTAGGCTTTAGGGTAGGTGTTTTGCCTTTGAGGGGCTCTGCAATTTTGGTGGTTTAGCTATGGGGGTTTTACGCTTGAGACCATCTGAGGTTGCAGGCTTTACAGGGTTTGGGCCAATTGACTTCGGGGTAGGGGCGACGGCTATAGCATTGGGTCTCGAGTTTCGACCAAGATTCAGAACCGTAGAAGTTGCGAGAGCCCAAACGATTATAAGCCCGCTTCAACGACAAGATTCAACCACAGGGGTTTTTGGCTTTCTGTTTCTTGCACTGAATTCTTCCGGAGGCCACGGCATAAGCTGTCACTTTATACTTCCGACCCAAGCCGCACACCATGGATTGGTGTATGTAGCTGAGATGGTTCAAACGTTGAGCCTCGTGCAATTGTGAGCTGGCGGAAGCCTAAAGCTCGCACGGAGCTCCTTTGCCTTGCAGGTGCAAGGGTGTTCGCACCCACTCGCCAGCGACAGAAGTGTGGGCTTTGGGACTGGGGGCCAAGCCGGAGCTGAGACTTCGATTGATGTCCAGCAAAGATCCTAAAGAAAGAAGCACAAAAACTGCAAGAACCAGCCAATGCCAGCCCGGCAAACTCGCTGCTCCAGACCTCGTAGCAGCACATGGGGTCCCAGCCTGAGCGCATGAAGCACGAGCATCGGCTTCGGAAAGAAGTCGCTGAATGTCGCCAGCAGCAGCCGCAACAGCTTGCCTCGTCCACGAAGGAGCAGCACCTACAAGGCTGCAGTGGCCGTCCGCTCCTTGATAGACACAGGAGGATCGCCAAGAACAGCAAAGATCAAGGGGGCCTGAGAGAAGCTTTGGATGGCATCCCAAGTAGACAGCTCTTGCGTGTTGCATCCGATGCAGCACGCACGAGCTTGTCTATTGGATGGCATCCTCCTGGGAGACGGACGGCACGGGGTAGGAACTGCAAAGAGGGGTCAAAAACAAATTTCAAAAGGATCAATAACATGTTTAAAAAGGATCAACAACAAACTTAAAAGGATCAAACACATATTGATGACTTGCGAGGAAATTTGTTGATGTCCTGGCTTAGTAGCTTCCGTTTTCTTGGTTTCTCGGCTTCCTAGCTTTTCGGCTTCCCGGCTTGTTGGCTTGCCGGCTGCCTTCACGACGGTTTCTCGGGTGGCCGGCTTGTTGGCTTCCTGGCTGCTTGGCTTCGCGGCTTCTTGGCTCCTGGGCTTCTCGGCTTCTCGGCTTCTTGGCTTCTTGGTAATATGTGTGTACCATTACTATTGTAACTATTGTGCATATTAGAAATTATTACCATTATTATTCCTAGTGTTACTCCCAGGGCTATCAGTACCATTTTTCTGAATAGTCTTATAGCCAATGCATGTGCAAGCAATAGTACGGTTCCTGGGAATAGCGGATCAAAAAAGCATTGAGGAAGGATCAAAAGCAAATTAAAACATTTCTGTAAGTGCGATTTCAGTAGTTCCGGGTCGGAACTGTGCGAAACTATGGTGTCAAGCCAGTACAGCGTAGAGGGTTTGAACGGTTACACCAAGCGCTCAGGGGTCTTATCTGCCCCCACTCTTTTCGGCCGATGCCAATGCATTTCATTCGCGGGCGCATGCCGCAACAGACCTGCGCACGCCCGGCTACAAAAGTTCGAGATATAGGCAAAGCCGCTATTGTGAAGACCCCAATCCGACGAGAAGAGGCATGGGCGCGGGACCGGCGGATGGATTGGTTTGCTGGTTGCTTGTTACGTGTTCGACTGCTGCAAGCAGCCGTACGCGAGTGAGGAGAGCAAGCAAGTAGCAAATCCACTTGTCTTTTTGGGTAGCTCTGTGCCGCTCCGCTTGCAATTGACATTACTTGCCTTGCCCATTCCCTGATGGTTGATTTGATTTGCTGTTAGCTGTGTGAGCACGCGAGCCGAAATCCCAACGCCGAAACGAGAGTATACCATAATTAATAATAATCCATGATATACTAGAACATCGTATCACAATATACTAAAATTACTATCATATACGTTAATACACACTAGAATTCCTATAATAACATACTTTCACATACTAGACTAGAGTACTAGAATATATGCCATAGCAGACCACCCACCGCGCCAGGTCTACTCCTTCGGCATGGTCCTTTTCGAGCTCCTCACAGCCTCGCCGCCGCTCCCTGAGCTCTCCTTAAAAAGGGTGCGCAGAGAGCCCAAGGGGCCCCTTAATTCAGGAATATACCGTAATAGGGTTCCTTTGCAAGGGGTCTAAAACGCATCTATGGGGATTGGGGCTTCCGATGTCCCTTGATTAAGGAATATGGCTTAAATTATTAGGGGCTTCGTATCATGGTTTAAGCTATTCTATATTCCTTACTTAAGGGGTATTGGGCTCTCTGGGTCCCTTTCGGGTGAAGTCGGGGCTAAGTACTCCCCAAGCCCGGATGCAAAAAAAAGCTTGGTTTGGGGCTTGGGGTTTGGGCCTTGTAGGTTGTTTTTTAGGGTTTCTTTTTTTTTTTGGGTGGGGGGTTGCTTTAGGGCTTGGTTTGGCCCGCATGTCTCTAAACAAGACCCCCCGTGACGCCCTATAAAGCCCTGTATGAAATCTTATAACGGATTGTATGAGAAACCCGGTCAAGGCTTGTCAGCAAACCAGCAAAGCGATCAAGGCCAGCCTACATGAGCCGGAAGTCTGGTGAGGGAAGTGGCCAGATCCAGGTGCGGAGACTGGGGTTGGGCAGAGCTCTTCCTTCGTCGTCGTAGGATTGAAGGTTTGAGGGTTTAGGGGTCGTAGACTGGCTAGACTTGAGTCCAGTGGCAAAAAGGGGTATCCTACGATGCCTAAGCACTGAAAGTAACCTTGCAAGTAAGGGGACTTTGTACATCCGCGGACCCTCAGCCCCTGGCCTTTTGCTCGACCCCCACCCGCGCAGTACCTCGCGCACCGCATCAACGGCGACCTCCAGAATGCCTTGAGCTTGCTTGACAAGAAGGCACGGGCTCGTGGAGTTTGCGGTGGGGGCGTATTTGGGTTTGCGTTTTCAACGGGTTCGGAGACTCCGTCTCCCGTCACAGGCATCGCCCTCAGTACAGGGCTCCATGATCACCGAATCTTCGCACCAGTCCGACCCATCCACCGTGCGGAGCTGGGAGGAACGGGAGACGAAGCAAGAGCCTCCGAACAATTTAGTTTCACCTCGTTTGACCTTCTACGAACCAAGGTCGCACCCATCACTTATTTAAAGATAATCGCAAAACCGCTGGCCAACTTTTCTTGATCCATCCTCAGTTCTACATCGCCGACAGTTGAGTGTTTGTTATTCTAAGTCCAGAATCAAAGGCTGGGTTCTTGTTAAAGAGTTTATGTTACGTTACCATAGTAGGGATCTATAGTAAGTAATATGGTTTTCTTATTATGGTAACTTCAATATATCCCTTAAGAAGAACCTCAACCTTAAACCCATGTCACGGTAGCAACGGTAGCAGTGGGACCTCGAAGCCGTGCCTGCGTCAGCGAGTGTGCGTGTCGAAACCCTTATAGAACCCTTGAAGGAACCCTAAATTATGGTAACTTAACTTAGAACCTAGAAACCCCTAAACGCCCAAACCCTAAACGCCGTAAAATCCTAAACCCCTAAAAACCCTCAGTCCCTTAACAAGAGCCCAGAAGCACCTCAGAAGCTCCCTAAAAATATATAGTTGGATCTATAGTAGGAACCCGCAAAAACGTACATTTTGGTAGGCTAAGGTAGAATAAAAGCACCTCAGAAAACCTTTCCTGAGAGGTACTATTGTTGTCTGGGGTTCCTTATTCTATTATTCTAACGTATTATGAAAACAAATCACGTAAGCTACCATATTAGGGATCCATAGTTTAAATTATGGTTTCCTTATGGTGGTAACTTAAACTAAACCCCAAACCCTAAACCTATCACAATAGGTAGGAGGGAAAAATCACAAAAGGCACCTCAGAACACCTTTCTCTGAGAGGCAGCCTGGCCGCCGGCCACGGCGCGGGCGATGTCAGAGCTGGCGCTGCGCTGCACGCGACTTCGCGAGGCCCTTGCTGAGACCCCCCTTGAGGGTTCAGGGCTTAGGTAAACCCTAAACCCCTTGGCTTCTCTAAAGGGTTCTTTAGGGTTCCTTTAAAGGGTACTCTAAGGGGTCTTTTGAGGGATCTGTAGGGTTTAGGGTTCTCAGACCTTCCAAAATCCCTTAGTTCATATTAGGAGTCCTATCATAATTTAAGGTAGATTCCTTGATTAAGGGACTTTGGAAGGTCTGGGTTTAGGGCTTAGGTATACTATGTTGAGGGTTCCTTATGATAATTACAGTATCATGGGCCTCAAAACCTTAGTCTAGTCATTAAGGCCCTTACCGCCTTGGCACTTGCCTCCTTGCGCTTTGAAGGGGTTGAAGGCGGTTGTGTGAGTGTGTGTGTGTATATCTGTGCGCGCTTTGAAATTAAGGGCCGGGTTTCAGGGAGTTGTAGCGGCACAGACAGGAGATCGAAATCAAACAACAGTAGATACTTGAAGCCTTCATAGGAGTTGTGGTCTGCATCTGTTCGGGCTAGCGATTCACAACCCTCAGCCAGAACTGAGTCGTGTAGAGTCAACTTGGACTTGGCAGAAGCCCGACTTGCGGAGGGATGCCCCATGACTTTCTGGGTGTTTCTTGTCCTTCTTGCAGGTCGTAATATTACCAAATCCTATCCCATCTCTCTAGAGTCAAGATTAACTAGGGCCGTATTTTCTGAAACTCCCACATCCCTGAAGGAAATAGGAAAGCCCAAGCCCTGAATCCAAAGCGCTGCACAACAGGCGCGGGCAGTTTGATTATGTGGGAATCTGCTTTCTGCGAAAAATGCCTAGAAGGAAAGGCTGGGAAAGCGCCGGAATACTGCTAAAATTTCTAAAAATCAAAGCCAACGAAGACGCAGAGAAGTCAGCATGTCAGAACTAGCGCAAGAAGCAGAGAGGAAGGTAAGGAGCAAAGCAGACAATTCCACTGAGGAGATAGTGTTTTTTTTTGTTGGGAGGGCCCCTACACCTTTGAGATGGAATGACAAAACATGATATGGGAGAAAACAGGGGATCCATTCTAGCACCCTGAAAAGTAGGATCCTTATTATAATGACCCCAAAGTAAGCTACCCCTAATATTCGGACACTCCCATATCATGTGCCCTAAATCCGAAGCCCTAAAGCAGCCATTTTTTCAGGAAGCCAGGCCAAACTTCGCAGAGATTGCTCCGACCTCGGCTAGCCATTGATATTAGGGGAGCTAAGGAGTCATAAGTATAGTTACCCTAATTATAACCCCAGCTACTAAGTCCCATGATCCTTTAAGTAAGGAACTACTAACCATTGATATTATGGGAGCTAAGGAGTCAGGGATGATGATAATCCCTAGGAAATAAGGAGCTAAAGAGCCAAGGGAACCCCCAAAACCACTGGTTAGTCGGGTGCTGAGGGTTTTTTTATCTGTAAAAGGGGGCTTTCAGGGCAGCAGAAAGGGGATGGACTATGAAGCGTTGGGACACTTCTCAACTTCCCTGATGTCCCTTGAGAGGTAACTGTTCATAAATATTCTGGGAGCCCTTGAAGTGCCACCCACTCATGGTTCAAGGTGCAAACAGGGCTTTCAACCCATCAGTAGGAGTGCAGCAGGATCCAGACACGGGAGCTGTCTGAGAACCGACAGCAGGGCACGTTCCCTCCGAGCCGAAGTCTCAAGTCACGGACAGAAAGCAAAGCACACACACACACACACACACACACACACACACACACACACACACGAGCATCAACCAAGCTGCTTTCAGAAGCACGGCCTGTACCGACACGACTTCATTCATTCAAGATGGCATCTCACGTTATGCAGACTGGATATGCATTCTCGGGAGTCGCGGAGCGCGTGCGGCGTGCTTGACCATGTTAGCTTGCATGTCGCCGTTTGACCTTCAACGTTCTTGTGCCCTCCTGATCCTGATGGGTTCTCAGAGTGGCAGATGTGCTGTCTCATGTTTGCAAATTGTCTTCTATTGCTTCAGCATGCTTTTGCTTCCCGTTCTGTTGTCGGGCTTGTGCTTTTCTCGCAAGTGTTCCTTTGTTTCGGATGATGATCGTATTCATGATCGATAGCGTTTTGCTTTCTTCTTCAGCCCTGCGAAGCCGAGGTCGACATCCATTCCACTCCCGCAAGAAAACAAAGCACTAACAGAGCCTTAGTGAATGGCCTCGGTTCTGCATGAAGCGAGCTCGTACCAGATCGCAGTGACTTCGGCTCGAGTTTTCTTGAGTGGGAAAGGGAAGTGGTGAAGCAGAATGATGTGCACGTGCCTTTTCGAAGGGGGCATTGCTGCCGCAGCCGCCTCCAAGATCGCCACTGCGAATGACGGACTTGGCCGTTGCCTCCATGCTTCAAGCTGGGGCACGACTCCATGGAAGTCTTGTCCGGTGGCGTCACGAAACTCTGCGGCGCTATCAGGTACGAGCGGATTCTGTAGAGCCGCGTGGAGTTTCGCTCTTGGGGCAGTTGCCTTGGCGAGAGCAAGACGATCGCGGCCAAGTTTGGTGCTTCATGGCGTCCAGCAGCAGGTTGCAGAAGTGTTGGAATCTATGGACAACATACCCAGCCCCCACTTCGTGTCCGGGGATATAACATCTGATGTAACTGTGCTGAAGGGCTCAGTGCCCTTGTGTTGGCCCATCGACGTAGAGGCACTGCTGGACTTGTGCACGCAAGCTCCATGCGGGCGGGGCCAGGAGACGGTCATGGATCTTAACGTGCGCAGCGTCATGGAAACTGCGGAGGTTGTCGTCGAGTGGCCCGACCTGCCAGAAGTCTTAAACAAGGTAGAAACAGAGCTGCTGCCTGACACTATCCTCCGTGCAGAATTTGACAAGCTTCTGATATACAGACCAGGCGATTTTTTCAAGGGCCACAGGGACTCAAAGCGCTCGGATAATCATGTGGCTACACTCATAGCCATCGCCGGCTGCCCTCACCGAGGCGGAGCGGTAGTCTTCCAAGAGGCAGACGCTGAGGTTGCAATTTGGGACGGTGGTTGTGGATCCTGGTGCTGTTGGCTGACATCCAGCAAGCACGAGATACGGCCTATCCTGGAAGGACATCGAATCGTTGCAACCTACAAGGTGTTTGCTGAGCCGCGCTCGACGACTCGTGGGGACCAGAATGCGACTGCCCTTGCCGGCAGGCTGCGTGAATGCATTCCAGCGCTGGAGACAGTGCTACAGGAAAAGCACTTGCGTGATGTCGGGTTCCTACTCCATCACGAGTACAGCTTCGACGGTAGACCGCAGCTGGACTTTTGGAGACTTGTTGGCCGCGACAGGGCTTTGTGGTTGGCCCTGGAATCTCTTGGCCTGGAGCTCCAGGTTCGTGAAGTGAAGCTCCTGCACGAGTTCTATCCGGAGAATTATGATACAGGCGAAGCCGTGCCGGTGCATCTGCGATGCCGCGTGGCAGAGGCCGTGACCAAGCTCACTATCGACTATGGACCCTGGGAGTGGCTTTTGTCGGACCCTGAGGCGGACGTCTGGGGCGATGCTGAGACGAGAGTCCAACTAACCAAGGAGGCGGCTTCTTTGTTTGGCGTCAAAGAGCTGCGAGCTGGTGATGCCCTGGACGTGCTGCAGCGCTTTCCTGGAACTGACTGGGACGATCCTGACATTGGCTTCTGGCCTGTGATGGGCTGCCTCTGGTGCATCTCGCGCGACAGGCTGCTGCAGAGGTTTAGGACCAGCGATCCCGATGGTGTCGAGGAGGAGCTCTGGGGCAATGCAGGCACCTTCAGCATCTACTGGTACAAGGCGGCTGTGCTCGTGGCTCGGATTCGTGCCGACGACTCCTTGCGTTGCGACAGCGACATCGACTTGGGCGGTTGGGACATGATCTAAGCAGCGAGCTCGCAAAAAGCCAGCGTCTCGCAGACAATGCTGAGAACTCCAGGCTCTCCCTTTAAGGTATTCATCTTACCATTCTACTTTGCACTTCGACTTCTTTGCAGGTACTTTTTGCTAGCAATGGGCAATGGGTTAGTGTACAGGGATCCCAGAACAGGGATCTTGATTTACTGCCTTCGCGGTAATTTGGTCACAGCACAGAGGGGCAGTTTAAGGGGACCCCATTATAGAACCCTACATTCTTCTTTAAAGGGACCCATTATAGCACCCTTAGTGCCCTTTAGTGGTACCTCCTGGTGGCACCCTGCAGTGCCCTTTAAAAGGGACCCCACCCCATCCCATGGTGCCCTTTAAAAGGACCCCATTACTTAAAGGATAATGTGACTTAGTAAGTGGGGTTTTAAATAAGGTAACTATACTTACAAGTACTTATAACCCCAATTAAGGCACTTATAACCCTACTTACTGAGTCCCATGATCCTCAAAGTACGGTTTGCTGGAGTACCCTTTAAAGGGACTCCCCCAAGTTCCGAAGCAGCTCCCAGGTGCGTGCCCTCCGTGGAATCGCCGAGCTCCCTGCCACGGTGGGCCGGTGATGCTCTTTACGCGAAACCTTTCAAAATCTAGGGGCGTTTGGGGTTTAGTAAACTTGGGGTGACCCTTTACTTTCAGGGTTTAGGAAAGAAGGGAATAAGTCTAGGGCTTAGTAGTTTAAATTTAGGTTCAGGAAAAAGGGTTTCCAGCGTGAACGCGACAGGCCGCGGTGCAAGGATCTGGCTAGCCCCAAGCCCGTTTGCAAAAAGGGTTTCCAGACATTCACTGGACTGTTTGAGACTCTGAATTTTCGGGCTTTGTCTTGAAGATAAGACTTGCAAGCAAAGGGGTTTCAGCTGTGCGGGATCAGGATTCCCACCGCTGCGAAGGGGAGGTGAAGGTCTGACTACAGCTTGTGCGATCAGCACTCCCACACCCACAGAGCTGCAGAAGACTTCCGAAGGCATAGAGACATCAGCTTGATGAGGAAACCCTAACCTTGAACCCGCCTTGCGCGAGTGTGAGCGCAGAGAAATCCTAAGCCCTAAACCCTAGCCCAGTCACTTGATCTGTTGATACCTTTGTTGCTTGTTATCCTGGCTACTTCCTTTAGTTGCGTTCCCTAAACCCTAAACTCTAAACCCAGCAGATTTGTACCTGCATCTTCGCCTGCTTGTCTCGTTGTGAGTGCTGAAACCCAGTTATCCAGACTCCGAACCATGTGCCTCGCCTGGAGTGTCCGAGTGTGAGCGCTGAAACCCTATGAACTTTGAGACTTTCGAAGACAAGAGAGCCCAATACCCCTTAAGTAAGGAATATAGCTTAAATCAGAAGGGGCTTCATAATTTAAGCTATATTCCTTAATCAAGGAATAGGGCTTTTAAGTCGTAATATGAAGCCCCTAGATAATTTAAGCCATATTCCTGAATTATGGGGTATCGGAAACCCTAATCCTTATAGATCCCTTACATGGATCCCTTTTAAAGGAACCCTAGGTATAGTCCTTACTTAAGGGGTATTGGGCTCTCTGGGGACTCTAATATAGTACCCTAAATAGTAGGGTCCTTCTTATATAAGGACCCCAAAATAGGGTACCCCTAATCCCTATAGATCCCCTATAGATCCCTTAATTAAGGCTCCCTGGGAAGACAAGACATCCCGGAAGGCGCCGGTTTGCCCGCCGCTCTCCACGCCTGTGGAAGCCATAGGTGCCCAGGCCCGGCTTATCGTTAAATATACTAAACTACTATGATCTACTATGATATACTATGATCAACTAGAGTATACTAGAGTATACTATGATATACGATGATAAACTAGAATATACTAGAGTATACTATGCTAAACTAGAATATACTAGAATATACGATGATATACCATGATCTACTCTGATATACCATGGTATACTAGACTATACTATGATATACTATGCTAAACTAGAATATACTAGAATATGTTATGATATACTAGAGTATCCTATGATATACTATGATAAACTAGAATATACTAGAATATGCTACTGTTTTTGGAGTTGCTGTTTCTCTGTGGCAGGCTGCCGCCGCTGATTACTAGTCTTGCTTTGGTGGCTCAGCACCATCCCGACTCCGATTCTTACTCGGTTACTGTTTGCGTGTTCCCTTGGAGAACTGTTGCTGCAAGTATGACTGAGTAGGAGCATGAAGAAGAGGGCAAAGGCAGCATGAGACGCAGCGTTTCATCGCCGCAGTACTGGAAGCAGTGGTGGAAGGATTAGCAGTAGCAGTGAAGAAGTACTGTAGCACTTTTGTCGCAGCCGAGCAAGCGGCAACAGCAGCAGTCGTTGGGGCAGAGCAGCAGCCACCGTCAGGCCGCCGTCATCGCTTAGTTTGTAGGTAAGCGTCGGTAGCTAGCAGTTTCAAGTTACAGTGCCCCTGCTTCTAGCATTACAACAACGACCACTACTATTTCTACATCTACTCTACTCTCACTCCTGCTCCTGCTCCTCCTCTTGCTCCTCCTATGCAGACGACTGCAGGTGGTGATCATCAATACGCAGTCCATGGTAATCATGCCAACTAAATGTGTCGCAGACATGGGTGAAATGTTGGTGGTGGCTACCGTTTTGGGGAGGTGTTGTTGTTCTGTGTGCTGTCGGTGGTGCTGCAGCCATTTTGTGCCAGCGTGCTTCAGCTAGGGGCAGTTGCAGACTTTAGACTTGCTGCCATGTTCGTGTCCTTCAGGAATGTCGAAAGTGACAGATGGCTTTTCTCCGATGGATCGAAAACCGGCGCAACACTACCAGGAAAAAAGCCAAAGTCAAAGGAGCTGCGATGGAAGCTCGGAATTGGTTCTAACGTGTCCCTCCACACACATGTATCGGTAACAGCAGGCATAGATGCATGAGCTTTCTGGTTGTAGGGCTATGGCGATGTAATGCTGTTGCTGTCCAGATCCGAGGGTGGTAAAAGAAGATGGCCACATCGAAACGCCGGAGGGTCGTAAGCTTTGCTTCGACAAGAATGGCAAGGGATCCGTGGAAACATGGAACAACCCCCATTGGGGAAGTGAGCTGCTCGGCGAAATCTTACATCGCGACCACATGACTTTTTCCATGCAAGTCGCATTTGCACATCTTACTCGCTAAGCTGCGACGCTGCCTTCATTTTCGGATTACCTGCTCCCAGGAACAATGTATGCATACATACGTGCATGCATACATGCATACATACATGCATACAAATGTACATACATTCACAAACACGCACACACACACACACTTTATATACATATATATATATATATATATATATATATGGAGAATCGACATGTGTGTGAATAATGGTCATGACACTGATATTAAGAAGAATTAAACGAATAGTACCTAGAACCAAGAACGCAATGAGACTAAGAAGAACAAACATGATGGTAATGGTAACCCCAAGCATGCATGTGTACATACATATGTATACAGCATGGGTCAGTCGAACGAGCATTCTCGTGGATGCCACATTCAGAATGCGAGAATGATTTTCTTCCACATGCGTCCCTATAGTATGTAAGACGCACGACTCTCACTCACTCACTCTCTCTCTCTCTCTCTCTCTCTCTCTCTCTCTCTCTCTCTCTCTTTCTCTATACATAAACATAGATACATGTATATATGTATATATGTATAGCACGTGTCATAGCATATCAGATGTACATCCAAATGAGGAGCTTCATTGTAGTAGGAACTAAAGTGTCGCAGGTTCCAATTACACGTCAGCTCACCCTAAGCCCTACATCCCTTATGCAGCCCTTGCCTGATCCGAGTACAAGCGCCAAGAAAATGCTTACATCCTAAACCCCTGAACCTGGCTTGAGCGAGCGCGAGTGTTGAAGTCCCTAAACTTGTAAGCCCCCGGAGTTATAAACCATTCATTCCTAACCCTAAGCCCGAAACTCCTTAGAGTGGATTGTCCGAGTGCGAGTGCCGAAACCCTAAACCCCGAAATGCAATGCCCCTAAACCTGCAACATTTGTATGCTCATCGTCGGAGAGCTCGTTTTGTCTGCAGACCTCGCCTGGATTCATCCGAGAGTGAGTCTCGAGAAACGCCGCAACCTAAACTTCATCTTGCAAGGAAGTGGGAGTTAAAGGAGAAGGACGGCGGTGTGTGGATCCTGAACCTCACAACCAAGAAGAGCCTTGGGGGAAGGGTCTGGGTTTTGGGGTTTGTAGGCAGGGTTCCGTTTGGGGTGGTTTCGGGGTTCGCAGGCTTTCGGGTTCATAGTATAGTTTAGCGTCTCGCCCAATGCCAGGAGGATCTTCGCACGGAAGAACGAGAAAAACGAGTTCGGAGGTTCGGATTGGGGAGGCGACAAAGGGGCCAAGGACCAGGTTTGGGAGATGGTCAAGCTCGATGCGAAGGCGAAGGAGCCCGAGAACGACGATCAGGACTGGTGGGGTAGTGGGGTGAAAGCCTTTTAAATCCAAGCCCTGAAAGCGCTCAAGGCGCAAAAGCTTCAAAAATCCACGAGGAACCCTCTTCGACCCTCTTCAGCCCTGCAACCCTAAACCCTAAACAATGTCAGACCTCGAACCATATGCCTCGCCTGGATTGTCCGAGTGTGAGCGCCGAAACCCTAAACTAAGATACTTTCAGGATGATAGGTGAGCTGAACTTGCCCGTCTACACTTGTACCCCTGCCTTCCTAGTGATTCCGGTCCCAAATGGGAGTTTCCGAAAATTAGGGGTACCTTATCTTGGGGTCCCCCTATATTCGGAAGCTCCCAGCATTTAAAGTAGCCAAGAGCTGAGACCCCAGCAGGAGATCCCCTGGGATGAGATCGCAGCGAAGGCCAAGGCCACCGGCGTGTCCATGAAGGAGGCCAGGGGCCTGAATAGTTAGAATAGGGTTTCATAGGGTTCCTTTAAAGGGGCTACTACAAGGTATCTAGAAGGGTACAATTTTATAGGGGCCTTAATAATTAGAATAGGGTTTTTGGGCACGTTATACTATAGGGAACCCCCAAAAGAGTATTGATAGTTATTCAGGCCCCTATAGTAGGGAATTTCGGTGGTATTCCCCGCACAATCTACAACACCCTCTCCTAATATGGTCTGATTTAGGGGGTCTTTGTTCCGGTTTAGGCCTCATGAAGATCTGGGTGCCAAGCAGGAGGGGGAGAGAGAGAGGGAGGTAGCCATTTTGGCTCAAGGCATCTCAACCAAGGGATCAGGGGGACTTCGGCCCTCCACTTAGGTGTGACAACCCGCAGGCACCGGCCTCGGACTGAGCCGCAATAGAGCTCAACTACCAGTTTGCAGTCCTACGCGCCTACTTGCACACCGCTTCTGTGAGCGAGTTCGGGGGCCACGGAGCTCAACGGCACCGCGCGGGGGCGAGCGGGGGAGACTGTCAACCGCTACCACAACGGCTTGGCGGCCTACGCGTGTTCACCACCTACAACACGATTCGCCGGGGGGACTACCTCGATCGCCGCCTACCTGAACCCAGTGTTCGTGACTTGGGCATCGCCACTGTGAATAATATCCATGACTACGCCAATGGATGCAGAAGGCCCAGGGGGACCAAAGAAACGAGGGGCGCCAGAAGGGGGAGACGGCCTCAGCCTCGACGCCATCAGGGAGGTCATCAAGGGCGAACTGTCGCTCAGCAGCACTGCCCTTAAGCAGGAAATCTCGCAGTCAGTCAATCGACGTATGGACACAGTCGAAGAGAAAGTGGGGAGCCAGCTGGAACGCACACTGGAGAAGCTGGCTGCACTCACAGACAGCCAGGCAGAGCAGGGAAGAGCCATTGCAGCCGTGCAGGCCGACCAGCAAGCCACGGGGGGAAGACTCACCCAGTTGGAGCAGAAAGTCCAACAACTGCAACTTCAAGGGGGAAGCTCCACAGCAGATACCGAAGGGGGAGCCAAGCAGCCGGCGCTCATATTTGGGGGCTGGGACGAGGACACACCGGCCGCCGAAACCCTGCAGAAGGCGAAAGATATGGTCTCCCAGCTCAGGCTGGACCTCGACATGGACAGTGCCTTTTGCCCCGGAGTTCGCCGCGGGTACGTGATCATCCCGTACCAAGCACGCCGCAACGAATCAGGGGGAGAACTCAGAGAGCGACTGCAACAAGCCCTACGACGCATCCGCAACGCCAACGTGGTCATGGGACGTAAGGAAGACGGGGGGATGCGCTACCTCTGGCTCCAGATGAGCCAATCGCCTGAGCGCCGCCGCCGAGCCCACCTGGCCGGAAAGGTCAAACGCCTTATTTTGGCCGCAAATGGGGGAAACACCACTGGTCTCGAAGTCGAATGGGCCACCGGAACCGTCTGGTGGCAAGCAGTCAGGGTGTGCTCAGCCACGACGACACCAGTGGCAGGAGCTGAAACAGCCGGGGCTGGTTGGATCGACATTCGCGCCATCGCGCAGGGCCTTGGCCAGACAGTGGCCACAGTGAACGATGCGTGGGGGGAGCTCAGGCAAGCCTTGCGCTGAGCAGAAGAACCCACAGGCAGCACTGAGGACAGCGAGGGGGAGGACGAACCGTCACCCCAACCGCTGAGCACTTTCAAACCCCTCAAGGGGGTGGACTGTTTTCACCTGGCAACCTGGAACGTGGGCGGCCTAACGGCCGATGGCACGCTCGACCTGCTGCGCTCGTTCGGGGGAGCCAAACACCTTTGCATGCTCCATGCGCTCATGCTGCAAGAAGTTATCACCAAACCTGGCAAGTTTTTTCTAGAAGGACATGGATGGAAGTTGGTCTATGGCAAGAAAGAGGGAGAGTTCAGAGGAGAAGCGATCGCATTCCGCACAGCAGTGGCGACACACACGCAAACCAATGTCACCAAAGGGGGGATCAGCACCGTCCTGCGCATGCATACAGGAGACAGATGGGGGCTACTCAGTGGACACATCCCGCACCATGCAACCATACCAGAGACAGAGATGATGCTCGCCGACTGGGGGGAACAACCAGCGCTCAGGATCCCCAAGTTCGCCCTGGGCCTAGACGCCAACGAGCAGATCACAGAGTCCACCAGCGATGCCACGAGCGCCCAAGCCCATACAGGACGGGGAGATGTTCTCCTCAACTGGGGGACCCACCACCACCTTCGACTCCCACCACAGGCGCTACACGTGCCCAGCTACCACCCTTACAACCCACTACACGAACCCAGCCGTCTGGACTATATCCTGCTACGCAAAGGCTACAGCCTGCAAGCAAGCCCGATACCAGCAAGACACATGGCCAGCTCGGACCACGACCCAGTGCTGGCACAGCTCCGTGCGAAAGTGCGGAAACTCGCCAAACAGACCCGTGCCGGAGGGGTACGACACCTCCACCCGCCTGCAGGCACAAGCATACCCGAGTACCTGGACCTCGCGGCCCAACAGCAGCCCGGGGACAGACACCACCAAATCTCGCGACTATGCCAGCAGATCACCAAGCCGGGGCGAGGGGATGCATCCCCCTTCTGTGAAAGCACACACCTCAGACGCCTGCGGCGAGCCGCGCATGCGACACCGACAGGACCAGCACAGCGAGCAGCATGGAAAGAGGTTCACAAGCAGCTCAGAGGGGAGCGCAAACAGCACCTGCAGCAACTCGTCACACTGGCGAGCACCAAAAACTGGGCGGCCTTCCGAGAACACCAACGACAGACAAACACGAGGGGGGACTGGCTCGCCTCACTGATGGACGCCCACCAATGGCAAGCAGCGCTCTTGAGCCACTTCTCCAGCATCTTTCACAAGTCGGACGGAACAGCCAAGCAGGAAGCCTTCCAGCACATGCATAAAACACTCTGCTACGGATGCAAAAACACACCCTGGCGACCCTTCACCCACGAGGAGCTCACACTGGTCAGCAGCAAGTGGGGGAAGCACAAAAGCACAGGAGTGGATGGCATTGCACACGAAGCACTACAACTGCTGATCATGCATGCCGTATGGGGGCCTCGAGTGCTGGCGATGCTCAACGAAGCTCTCTACTCCGGAAAGCTGCCCGCCCTCGTCGAGCGAGGCCTGACGGTACTCCTGCCGAAAGGGAGGAGTCCAGAGGGATGGGGGGATACCAGACCAATAACCCTGAGCAGCGCAGTGCTGAAGACCCTTGCCCAGCTCCTCCTGCTACGGGGGACGCCCTGCCTCCAGCACCTCAACACATACCAATGGGCGGCACCCCGGAGACAAGGAGTCGAACTGATCCTCGTGCTCCGCAAAATAGCACGAATGGGGGCGGACTGGGGTGGCGACTTTTGGATCATCAAATTGGACCTGCAAAAAGCCTTCGACTCAGTGGCGCAGGAGAGTTTGGGGGAACTCGTCACAAAACAGGTTGGCCCCACCCAATCGTGGGAGGCGCGCCTATGGCTGTCACTACTAGACGCCAGGAGCATCCACATCGCGGCGGGGGAGCAGGAGGTGGAAGTCCCACAAACCAACGGCGTCCGCCAGGGGTCACCCGACTCCCCAGTACTCTTTTCAGCCCGCGTGGGGGAAATCGTGGAGCACACCCTCCATGCCACCAATTCCATGCCCCGGGGGGGAGACCGGCCCTTCCTCCCCCCCCCCCCACACCATGGGGGCGCCTTCATGGACGACACCTACATTTGGGGGGAGAATCCAGTCCACATACAGAGAACACTCGAGACACTGGAACGCCTGCTGCAGCAACACGGCCTCAAGATCAACCCCAAAAAGACGCACATCATCAGCAACAACCCAAAGAGCAAGGTGACTTTTAGGGTCGGAGGACAGGACGTGGCACCTGATCCGGGGGACACCCCGCTTCGAGTCCTAGGTTCGCCGGTTAGCTTCCGGGGGAACACGCCACAGCTCGCAGCAGAAATGGGGTGCAGAGCAAGAGCCGCATTCGCACAGAACAAAAAAGTGCTGCAAGCACCAACCCCACTCAAACCCCGTGCCGACCTCCACGACACACTCGTGCGCCAAACAGCCCTCTACGGATGCGAAACCTGGACACCGCACGACACCCTGCTACGAGCGGCCAACACACAGCAGCTGAGCCAGCTACGCAGTATGACATCGGGGGGAAGGCGACCGGGGGAGGCCTGGACGGACTGGAACACACGCACACTCCGGCACACCAGAGCCCTGCTACACCGAACCAAGGGAGTGAGGTGGTCAACGTACATTTTACAAAGAGTGTGGCGGCTTTGGGGGCACGTGATCCGGGGAGGGGGGGTTACGAAAGACATGCTGTTGTGGCGGGGACTGGCCTTCTGGAGGGAGGAACAACGCAAGCACCCCACGCAAGGAGCCAGACACGCAGCCAGATTTTGCAGCCAACTGGACACCGAGAGACAGATCACGGCAATTGCAGGGGAAGATTGGCCCCGAGTTGCACTGGACAGACAAGCATGGCACCAGCTCGAAACCCATTTCGTAGAACGCTACGACCCACCATGGGCAAGCAACAAACAACCACAGCTCACCAACCTTGCACCCGGACACCGGGGGAACCACCAGCCACTGACAGACCGCACGCCGAGACCGAACAGAGGGGGGACGCGACGCACACAGCAGCAGCGAATGACCGCGCTACAGCAGTGAGGGAGAGCTGAAGCTGAGTGAGAGAACCGAAGAGAGTCTGCAGTTGCACCAGCAGTACATGTCCAATGTGATGTTCTGCAAGTACAGACCAGCACGTGTTGCACAATGCCTTTGTTTGCATGTCCTGACAGTCACCATGTCCATGAATTCAGCTTGGAGGGGAAACAGCTGCCGTTTGCAGCACTCTTGCCCAAGCAAGCACGACCGGGAAGTACACCGCGAACCATGGCCAGCCTCGTACTCAAGGTGCTGACAGCGTTGTGCTGGGGGATCCCGGTGGCTCTCTGGGCCACCCAAGGCCAGAAAGGAGGGCAAGGACCGCCGCCGACGCAGAGCCAGACCTACGGGGCCAGAGGGACGCGGCTCAGCAGCAGCCAAACAATACCGGGGGGAGACGACCAGGCGCCGCCAGCACAGGGTGCCGGACCTCTCCCACCGCTGACAGAGGACCGCGACGACGACGGTGCAGGTCGCACACCGAGACAAGACACCACGTCAGAAGCAGATCGCAGACCCCAAGGGGGGAGAGGTAACCTGCCAGCTACATACCACCAGCAGCCTCAGGCGCCACCGCATCAACATACGGAAGCGACCCTCACACCGCAAAGGGTGCCGCCGCAGCAGGGACGCCAGCCCACACAGCCACAGCCAACAGCTACGCAGACACTGACTCCACACAGTCAAGCCGTCACGCAGC